GGGACCTACAGAAGGATGATTATGACATGATGTTTAGAAGCAGAGTACAAATAAGCATATTAATAGTAGCTAACACTTATTGACTCTTAATTCTGATGCACACACTTTCCAAAGCATGTCAAGATTGATTTCCACAACAGGCAGCCATCCTAACCTTACATTGACACACAGCAACAAGGCACTGAGAGTTTAAGGCCAAGGAGCTGGGACCTGAATGGGCAGCCTCGCTCTGAGCATGGCCTCCATCTCTGCCTCCAACACCAACAGGAGACTCTGCAATTCCTATAGGCACAGCTCCCTGGGCCCAGCCTAGCAACCACAAACCAACATGCAGGAAAAAAGTGACTCTGAGGTTGTGCTCGAAACTGTCTTTGCTGCTTCCTAATTAACTTTTTCATAATAGGCTTTACATTTTCTTAAGTACCAAAGCACCTTGCAGAAAAGGAAAGCAACAAAGTGAGTCTGGGCACACCACCTTCTCTTGGGCAATAAGTAACAAAAAGGTGTTCTTGAAATGCCTCATAACAAAGCCCTGTGCAACTGCAGACACACCCAGAAGGTGACGGTTGCTAAGCAAAGAACTTGCCAATTATCCTGAAGTTCCCAGGATGAACTACGCTACCTGGGGGTCCATTGCAGTGCAGAGGCAGCCACCTGCCTGACTGTAAATGAAGGCAGGAAGCCACTTGATGGAATAGAGAAAAGGCTTTGGGGAGTCAGAATTGATGAGTTCCCCAGCCAGGCTCGTTCTGGGAATTCCAAGAACTGAGCTTTTGCTATAGAGAAATGTATGTGCTTTGCATGCTGGCATGGAGTCTTAATTCAAGCTTCGATTGCCCTGGGACCCGTTCCTAAGATACCCTGTGCTAGCACCTGACTTGTGTCATTTCCCCGTCAAATTCGTATGTTGAAACCTGCTGTGGTTTGTCTCCACCAAAACTCAAACTGAGGCTCAGTCCCCAGTAGGACAGTATTGAGACGTGTTCCAGGCCTTTAGAGGGATCAGAGCTTTTCTCAAGGAAGTCAGTTAAGACTCACAGGAGTGTTAAGTACCCTGGGAACAGATTAGTTACTAAGAGAGTGAAGTGTTATAAAGCCAGCCTGGTGCCTCCCTCAGCTTCTGTCTAACACATACTCCTGCTTCTCTGCTGTGGTATGACACAGCATGTGGCCCTCACCAGAAGCTAACAAAACACTAGTGCCATGCTCTTGGACCTGCAGAACTATGAGCTAAATAAACCTCTCTTCTTTATAAATCACCCCATCTCTGGCATTTAATTAAGCAAAAGAAAACAGATTAAGACAAAGTCCTGACCCCAATGTGGCTGCATTTGGAGACAGAATCTTTTTGGAGATATATAAGTTTAAATAAAGTCTGATGTCTTTATAAGGAGAGAGAAAGGGTCAGGCATGGTCATGCATGCCTATTATCCAAGCTACTCAGGAGGCTGAAGCAGGAGGATCACAATGTCAAGGTCAGCCTGGGTAACTTGGCAATACCCTGTCTCAAAATACAATTTTAAAAGGGGCTAAAAAAGGTGGGCGGGCACTGGGACTGTAGCTCCATGGTAGAGTGCCCACCTAGCATGCACAAGGCTCTGAGTTCTATCCCCAGTACGTGTGTGTGTGTGTGTGTGTGTGTGTGTGTGTACATATATAGAGAGAGGGGGGAGGGGGAAATATGAGAATGAGAATGAATCACCAGGGATATATATGCAGATAAAAGGTCATTGTGGACAGGAAAAAAACTGCCTAACTTAAGTCACAGAAAAAAGGCTGTATCAGAAACCAACTCTGCTAACACTTTGCTCTGAGACTTATAACCTCCAAAAAATAAATTTCTGTTGTTGAAGCCACCTGGCCCATGGTCCTTTGTTAATGGCAGTCCAAGCAGACTAATACAGCCAAGATACACAGCACCCTACCCTTCCTATTTCTCTCAGTGATGACACAGATGGTGGGGAAAGAATGGGGGTGCAAAATCACCCTGCACTCAAGATTCCTAACAATCCTGCCCCCTCATCTGTGGGGAAATGCACACAAGGTAAACAAGAGTGTTGTCCCCTGAAGACTTCCTAAATATGCAGCCACCACAGAAAACCACCCCACCCAGCCACTCATTCACAATCACCCAAAGATCATATTAGTTCCAAGCATCAAGGGTCAAATGCAGACACACTAACATTCTCCTTAATAGATTCCAACTGTAAAATCTGGGTATGTGCCTACTCGCCAAAGATTACAAATGATAATACCAGATTTAATTTCTAGAAAACAGTATAAGTGAAAACAGGGAAAAAGATTTACATCATACAATTGGCATCACTGGAGAATGTCTGGAGGAACTTGCTCAGTGAAAAATGCACAAGCTGGCTGGCACCTTCCTCAAAGACAACAAGCACCCTAGGGAGGACCACAGGCCCAGATCAGACCCAAGAGCAACTGCCAAGGCACCCTGAGATGTGGGACTCATCCCAGACAGCACAATGTTCTGTGCCCACAGGCCACACAGACACAAGCAGCCCTGCAAATGGTACCCAGATGAGGTGCCCACAAAGCTATCGTTCACATCTTAGGGACCACTGTCCTTTTAGGAAAATGCATGTAATGCAAAAAATGGTCTCTTCCGAGTGGCTGCCTTGGAGTCAGAATCAAGTCTCATCCACACATGATAGTGTCACCGCATACAGAATCAGAGATGTTAGAAAGACAAGGCACTAATAACAAATCATAGATTGTTATTTTTTCCTTTCTCCCATCCTTTCCATTACTTCTAGGAAAAATACTTGGTTTAGCATTAGGATACCTTCAGCATCTTCCTAATGCTCACTGACCTGCCTCCATATGGGGCAGGGTGGGAGACATAAAACTACTACTACTGTTATATTTTCACCGTCAAGATTTATGATCTCAGTCTCTCCTTCTTGCCTTTGTACAGGGCCAAAAGACAGACACTGCCTACTTTGCTACCTTAAAGCACACTCCAGGAATGTCACCAACAGCATGACCTTCACAACCATATCCAACAACCCAAGCTTCATTGTTTACCTCAGTAAAATCATCACTGCACACAAAGGCGGCAATTTTCTTGCCATTCTTGATCAATAGGGCTCTACACATTTCCTGATGACAGAATCTGGCCCTTTGCCTCACTCCTGATTTTTTCTAGTACGATTCCCTTTGCATGAGAAGCACCTCCAAAAGGGTTGGTGCTTTTTGAAGGCCACAGAGCTGCCTGGCAATATGAAGATGAAGACACCTACCCTACCTGCAGGTGCCACAGGCCTGAGCAAAACACAGAAGCTGTACCCCATCTCTGAACAACAGGGAGGGTCTCAGTCAGAACCTGGGACAGCAACACTGGCCAAGTCAGTTTTAGTAACACTCCTTTCACCTTTGTTTTTACAGTTACCACTATTTAAGTACACTAACAGTGGTTCTCTATTTATAGTCAGGAAAATAAGGTTTCCCTTTTAAAAAAAAAAAACACTCAAATTTGTTTCAAGTGTATCATTAAAAACAAACAATATAGGGTAAGTAACAGTAAAATGGTACACAAATGACTGAAATGTGGAAAACAGCAACACATATATTCACCCATCCCATGTGCCCCACACACGGGGTGATCCAGAATGTCTGCTCAGCTGAACTCCAGGCTGAGAAGCACCCTAGGAAACCACTCTGCTCACTGTGCAGTGCAACAGTCATTCTCACACACCAGCCTCACAGTGACTACTCATTTCGTGAGTCTCACCCTTGAATTGCAAATGCTAGTGCCCTAAACTTCCTTCCTTAGCAATAAAGACATATACGAGGAGGGAGTACATTTCCTCCTTTGCAGCCCAGGGAGGCCAGGGGACTAATGTTGGCCCCAGACATACGAATGGGCACCTTCTGGGTGAGGTCCTTAGAGCTGGGGCTTCAGCTTTTGTTTACCGAGAGCCCATTCCACAGTCTGTGGATGCCCATGGGCTCCCTTTAAAGAATAAAAAAAGTTTTAAAGTACAGAAACTATATGGCTACAAAGGAACCCAATTATATTGAAATAGAATGATCTACACGCAAAAATGACATAGTAAAGTATAGGTTTCTACATTATAACAGGAAATAAGCACCATATTCCCAAGGTTGTTATAGGTGCCTGTGATTTCTGGTGACAAAGTCACCCATTTCACCATCACTACTGTGGTTTCTAAGGCTTGTAGCTACTTTCATAAATGAGCAAAGACTAAACTTCAGTCACAGACTGAAGAAATGTTCTCATTTTTATTGTGGCCATATTCAGACCCCTGAATCTTATATGTAAATGGAGAAAATCTCTCCTCTGTCCTTCTTCCTTCTTTCTACCTCAGATGGGAATGAAATGGCTGGAGCTAAAACAGCTATTTTCATCTATGAGGCAAGGCACAAGGAGCCCTGGCCTCTGATGACTATGGAGCCATGTACCAGCTCCAGCCTACCTACCTCCGGAAAAGATGAGTTTCTATCTTGTTAAGACACAGTTGGTATATTCTGTGCTATTTAAAGCCACTCAAACCTGCTCGTAATTGCTATGTCTCTAATATTTTTTTTCTGGGTAGTAAAGTTGAAAACCTGATTATAAGCAACATTTTATCACCTTGAAGAGACACTTCTTCCTTACTAATAAAAATGATCCCTCTGACATTACAAAGGAAACCCAACCACTATGGTGTCTCTGTGCCTACTGCCTTACACAGGCAACAACCCCTGAAACCGTGAGCCACAGAAGCGGCTTCCCTTCCATCTCTACCCCACACTGTCCTAGAGAGGATGCACATGCCCAGGGGCCATGGGTGAACCACGGTTCCAAAAGCCTACATGCTTCATGCTTCAGTTCCACAGCCAGGTACACACCTGCTTACTTTATCCCACATTTTGCAAAGTCACCAGGCATGGAGGAATACACACACAAGCACTGCAGTGACACGCAGGCCCACAGTCATGCCACTATTGGTGGAGGTGGCTCAGAAAGTACTTACTAATTGTCATTGACTCTGGCACTGAGGCAGAAGGTAACAGGTTGGTTAGAGGACTTCCTTGGCTTGGACAGCTGGTTTGCACACTGGAAAAAAGCAGGGAGAAGGAATTGACACTCAGTCACTTAAAATGTAAAGCTTTACTGTTCAAAACACTAGCTAGAGGTATGTTTGTTAAGTTATTACTGGCAGGGACAGAAAGCTGCTATCTGAAATTAGTTAATCCTCATTACATGCATTTTCCACATTTGCAAATTTATCTACTCTCTGAAATTTATAAGGGGTGATCAAAAAATATGGTGACCTTAAAAAAAAATTTTTTAAAACTTATTATAGTAAAAGACACATTGCCAAGAATGACAGGATAAATGTGTTCAAAGTGAGTCAGGTATTTTGAGGAGGATTAACAACAATGTGTCTTTTATTGTAATGATTTTTAATTGAAATATTCACCTTTTCTTCAATCATACTTTGTATTTGTAACTCCAAATCAGTACTCACAGAGCACTTCCACAAATCACTTGTAAGCCAAAAATTTAAATCACCAACTTTTATGTTCCTAGCTAAGGTCAAACAAGATGACAATCTACCTTCTTGTTTTTGGTCTCACAACTGTAAACAAGTTTTTTTGTCATGGTTCTATGCAGTGTCACATTTTTCATATTCTTGTGCTTTTTATTGGTTATTTTTATTACTTAACATGATCTCTAAGTATGGTACTCTCTCATGTTCCTAAAGCAAGAAGGGTGTGATGTGCCCTATGGAAAAATATGTGTTACACAAGCTTCATTCAGCTATGAGTTATAACACCACTGGCCATGAATTCAATGCTAATGAATCAATAATAGATATCACATGATGTGTCTTTAATAGATATCACATGATGTGTCTTTAAATAGGAACAGACATAAGACCAGACTATCCATTGATCAACTGGTAAAAATGTCATGACCAGAGTCTCACAGAACCTCACATTCTCCCTCTGAGCAAGATGCAGGATTAACAGCAACTTTATAGAATGTAACCAATACAAATGAGAACTGTATGCTTATAATGAAATTGCAACATGGAAAAAATATAACATCTTTTATGAAAATAGCAAGGCCATGATGTTGTATACACACACACATAGAAGGAAAAGCACCAAAATATCGTCAAGGTCATGAAGTCAGGGTTAAGAGTAATATTTTTCATCCATCATTATATTTTGCAAATTTGCTAAAATAAATAACCGAAAAGAACTCAGAGCCCTGGAAGGGTCTGGTGGCACCATTCTTTCTGATACCAGACTAAGTGGTACCAGCTGCCAGTGGGGGGGAATGTTCAGAGCCTTGTCTATTCTGGGTGAGAATGGCTTGGGGCAGGCAAGAGCCCACACCCAGGAGTTAAGGTTGCAAACACATATGGATTACATACCTGGGAAAGATTATCTAAGACCACTGGCAACTAGTCATTGAGATGCAAGACTAAATCTGAACATAAATGTGAAGTAAAGCCTTGCTTTATAACTCTATCTTTAAAAAAGAATATAATCCAAGTTGTTAAAAAGCATATCTCAATCCCAAAGGCAACTTGATTTGTTAAATATTAACCTGTACCGAAGGCCAGGCTCCACCGGAAGGTGGTTGTTCGGTCCTGTCCCATTCTCCAGGCTTCCCAGGGGCACACCTGTGTACAGAGAACAATCACAGACAGACAGTCTAGTTATTTTAATTCCATTTTCACCTTGTCATTTGTTTTTCTACTGTACCAGCTAACTTAGAATTTTTTCCCACACACTAGATTTTAATTTACCCATTTCACCTTTGCAGATACAGTACTATTATGACTTGACATCAGTCACTGATAGAAGGTCACACAGTCCCACTTATCCTGTCACTTCTGACCTTGAGGTACATGGAACTGCGCATGAAGTCCACATTCAGAACCAACCTCAGAAATCAGGGAATAGTAAAACAGCTGTTAGACAAACTGCTCCACCTATAAGTGACACTAGAGGGCAGCGTGGTCTAATCACAGACCATGTCTGCAGCTGCCTACAAAAGCATTAGCCTGCATGAGCGGCTTTTGCGAAGAGCATTCACAAGAAGGGAGGTCATAAATAATCTCTATAACCAACAGGCAAAAGACACTAATGATTCTCATAAACACATTAGCAGCTGCTCGAGTCTCCTTCCAGAAAAAATTACAATCTCATGAGCTTTGTGCGGGGCAGTGACATTAAGAGCCATATCACCCACAGGAACCCTTCCTTGCTCATTCAAGAAACTTCTCAGTGTTAGCGCCCACTGAAGAACTAGGCCCCGGGGGCAGCGGACACAGAGGTGAGGGAGCACAGCCTCCCCAGTACCGCACCTCCTGTTTATGCCTGGAGTTGTGCGGGACTCCCACTGACAAAGGGACTGGGCTTGAGGGAAATTTAAGAGACAGGAAATGATGTTTTGTAACCTTTTCTGCAACTCTGCTAGCCCCATCAAGCTTCTACGCCCTCCTAACTCTTTCAAGAGATCAAAGAGGAAATAGTGTCTACTTTTCAACCTTCCCTTCCTTGCCTCCTAGTCCTGAGATTGGTTTCAGGTCACAGGCTCTGCCTAACGGCTGGGGTTAAGTCCCTGCTCCCCAACTTTAATTCAGCCACCTACCTAGTCTCTTTATACCTCGGTTTCCTCACCTACGAAATGGGCTAACAGCAATGTCCACCACACATTTTAATGCCTGCCACATCACTGACTCTCACATTATAACGTACATGTAAAGCCCACTGAGGATACTCAGTAAGTGGTGGCGAGCATCTGCTGGCTCCATAACAATCCTGCCTGTCTCAGGTTCTCATACTTCCAGTCAACAGAAATTGCTCTCAGAGGACCCAAGGAACCCTTTTCTCAGCTTCCCCCTCCCCATGCTCTCGCCACTCAGACATCACAAAACTATTCTTCAGCTCTCCTCCCCATACCATCTTTTCTTGGATTCCTGAGTGAAGTGTTTCTAAATCATGCCTCCGTCTCCCTTGGAAACCCCAGAAAGGCCTTGGCTACAGCTCTCATCTCAGCCCTCTCCCTTGGCCATGACCTCGGTCCTGAATCACAGTCCCACACTTCTAACGGCCTAGTAGAAAACTATGTTAGATACTTGCCTGGGCCCAGCAACTCACCCCGACCTTTGAAACCGCAGGTCTTATATTCCACTCCCCGCTGGGCTGGGCTGTAACTCCGCAGCGCAAGGCACTACCCTCTGCTCCCCACTGACCCAGATGATATCTACTATGGTTTGGTTAAGTGTCCCCCAAAGGCCCACATGTTAAAGGCTTGGTCCTCAGCCCCTAGTACAACCAGGCCTTTAAGAAGTGGGGCCCAGTGTGAGGGTGTTAGGTCACTGGGTGTTCCCTTGACAGGGATATTATGGAGGTCTCTCTCCCTCCCTCCCTCCCAGCCACCATGAGGTAAGCAGCTGCTTCTACCACATGCTCCCACCACAAGGTATTGCCTCACCAAAAGCCCAAAGGCAATGAAGGTGAGTGACCACGGATGGAAATCTCTGAAACTGTGAGCCAAAATAAACCTTTTCTCCTTCCATGGGTCATCAGTTTTTTGTTTTTAAGCTAAGACAATATACAAGTGCCACCTACAGTGTCCCCTAGTCATTTTACAAGTCATGTCTACTGCACATCCATTCAAAGGCTCAATACCACCTAAGGCCCTTCTGTGGCAGGTTACCTCAATTCTGTGTCATCGCTGCTAATCTAATTCAGGCACAGCTGTCATATTCCACACCCTGAAGCAAAGCCTGGAGTCCAACACGCACAGTGGAAATTCACAGCTGGAGTAATCATGCAGTGGGCATTCTAGACCTGACGCTGACTCGGTCCGGCTGACTGTCTGAGCCCCTTTTTTAACACAACCTCAGCCAGCTAGCTTCTACAGCAGGCCTAGCACAGCATGGCACACAAAGGATACAGCATCTCACTCATCTCCAAGACGCCCTTGAGGAGTCACAGACAAGGACTACTGTTAGCTTAATTTTACAGGGAAGGAGATGGACCCCAAGGATTTAAGTAACTTGGGAAGGTCACAGAACAAAAAAGTGCAAGCATCCAAACCCTGGTCTGCCCAATGGCCAAGCTAAGCCCTTCCCATTTCAGCATACAGGCTCTCGTTCAGCTGACCCAAGCCGATTGCCTGTTCCTCTACATATCCTGCCTCTGTGCCTTCACCCACACCCTTTCTTCTATGTGGACATCATTCTTCCAGTGCCACTCATCCACCAGCTACAGCACACATACCTCTCCACATACTGCAACCATCTATTTACCCATTCAGCGAAGGTGGGCTGAGTCCCAGCTGTGAGCTCAGCCTGGTCAGTGTCACACCCAAGACAGACACAGCCCTGCCCTCATGAACCTCAGAGACTAGCAGGGGAGCAGGCACTGTCAAGTAATTATACAAATGCATCATGACAAACAGAGGTCAGAGTAACAGAGGCAGAGAAGATTTGCAGTGTAGCACACACATCCTGACCTGTCCAAGGAGGGGTCAGAAGAGCCCTCTCCAAGAAGCGACATTTGAGCTGCCACCTGAAGGATGCTGCCAGGGGAGCAGAGAGCAGGAGGGGCAGGTGGGAAGAAGGGGCAGGGCTCCACCTGAGGAAGTGGGGGAAAGCTGGTATGGCTGGGGACACCAGACAAGGGAAAATGGGAGGAAATAAAGCACCAAGCATTAGCTGGGGCCTTGCTGACCATAGTGAAAATTTAAATTCCATCCTAAGTGCACCAGAAGATTTTGGAGCAGGGGAATGATGCAATCTGGTTTGTGTCTTAAAAACTCACTCTAGCTCCTAAACAAAGAAAGGAGAAGGGTAGAAGCTGACAGTGCTTTTGGGTTTTTTTTGTTGTTTTTCATAAATCTTTATTTCCATGTACTTTCTGTATTTATTAGTATTGTTTGCAGTACATGCATTTTATAATCACTTGGGGAATTGGTACATGTATCTAATTTCTCTTTGTAAATCCCCTTCCCTCCCTCTTCCTCTCTCCTCCTCTAATTCCCCTTTCCCCCTTTCATTCTTGTTGATATTATTAATCTTGATGCATGTTTATGGCATACAATGTCCACATTCATTGAGGTTATTAGATCCTGTGCCTTGCATATCTTCACTCTGCCTACTTCCCCATTCCCTTCTACTTGCTCCTCACCCTTGGTGCCCTGGACTCCTTTCCATCTGCAAGCGATCCCTCCTCTTGTCTCCTTCTATCCTTTTTTATTTGTTTGTACTTTTTTATTTGTTTGTACTTTTTATTTGTTTGTACTTTCTTAGTTTGTACTTTGCCTTACTCAAATAAGAGATATCACACGGTATTCAAGCTTATGTGTCATGATTTATTTCACTTAATATTATATTTTCCAGGTACACCCACTTTCCTACAAATGTCTCAAATTTGCCCTTTTATATAGCATAGTAGTTTTCCATTATATATAAACATCACAATTTCTTTATCCAATTATCTGTTGATGGGTATATAGGCTGCTTCCAGCATTTAGCTATTATGAACTGTGCTGCTATAAACATTGGAATGCATATACCACTGTGGTGTGATGTCTTAAGCTCTCTGGAGAAGGTATCTAACAGGGGGATAGCTGGGTCATACGGAATTTGTAATTTTAATTCTTTGGGAAATCTCCATACTGGTTTCCACAGCAGTTGTACTAATTTGCATTCCTATCAACAACGCAGGAGGGTTCTTTTTTCACCATAGCCACGCCAGCATTTGTTATTATTTGATTTCTGGATGATGCCATTCTTTCTGGAGTAAGATGGAATCTCAGTGCTGCTTTAATTTGCACCTCCTTTAACAGTCAGAGATGTTGAACATCTTTTCATATATTTGTTGGCCATCTGTACTTCCCTGTGAAGTGTCTGTTCATATCATTTGCCCATTTCTTGACTGGTTCTTTAATTTTAGGTGGTCAAATTGTTCTGAGTTCTTGGAGACAGGGATAAAGCTCAGCAGTACAGCACCTGCCTGGCAAGCATGAAGTAAAATTCAATTCCCAGTACCAAAAAAAAAAAAATTATTTGAGTTCTTTATATATTTTAGATGTTAGTCCTCTGTCTGAGGAGTAGCTGGCAAACTTTTTTTTTCCATTCTGTAGATTGTGTCTTCACTCTACTAATTAATTCTCTTGCTGTACAGAAGCTTTTTAGTTTGATAGAATCCCATTTGTTGATTCTTTTTGTTTTATTTCTTGGGACAGGATCTCGCTATGTAGTTCAGGCTGCCCTCGAACTCACAGCGACCCTCTTGCCTCAGCCTCCCAAGTGCTGGGATCACAAGTGTGTTATACCATGCCTGACTATGTGTTGATTCTTTCTCACACTACTGTTTTGCAATAACCCAGGTGAGAGATAATGGTGAATTAGATAAAACAGGGTGAGGAAAGCATTCAGAGGATACTTGGACCATTCATTCCTTTACACTGATTATTACAATGCCCCCTATCCCCTCCAGTTATACATGCAGAACTACAAGTGGGATTCACCTTGGACCCTGAGCCTAGCACCATATCTGGCACAGAGCAAGGAAGATGGGTGAGAGAATAAAGAAAATCATGAACCCTAAGTGGCACATGTCCCCTGGAACTGGTGTAGGAAACATATACAATGCAGTTCTCTGCCAGCATTACCTTGACACTCACAAAGGTAAAGCTAGCTCTAAAATGAATCTTATCGGGTCATAGTGGTATCACAAAATTCCTCCTCAGCCTCAACAAACTACTCCAAAAGCCCACAGGGAGGACAATGAGAAGCTGATAACTTTAGACCCGACAGGAAAATAACGGGTTAGAGGACCTGAGGTTTCAAATGAATCAGAGGCAGCCCTCAGAAATTGGCTATGCATCTGCTAAAATCTAAGTAATACTTTCTTATATCTCAGATGAGTAGGAAGGGGTGTTCTGTCACCTCCATTTATTATTCTCCCTGAAAAAAACATTGAGAGCTCTCCCTCCCTCACTGCTTTAAACAGACACTGGTAAAATTCACTTTGCCCTGTTGTAGCTCACATACACGTCCAGAGGACCTCATGTGTGTAACCCTCAATCTGCTTGTTCAGATCTCCTGGTGTGAGCCGGAGCTGGTATCTCCTTGCTCTGACTCACTCCCTAACCCAGGACATGCAGCCCCACTAAACATACAGCTATCTCACCCAAGATTCTGAAGGCAAATTTCTTTTTAGGGTTTCCTTCAGGTTTGTTCTTCCTCCTAGGACTTAGCTGCAAAGATACCCATCCTCCCCAACACAGACTTCTCCTTCTATCTCTTTCCTTCCCTTTTTCTCTACCCCCAATGGCAGTGACTGTAAAAGCAAAGACATTTTCAAAGATAACTGAAAATTCTGCCAAGGTGAGAAGTCTGCTGTATGAGAAGTCACGTTAAAGGACAAAACGGTTCTGCAGCAAGAATGAGGGAAAATGCGGTAATGTCTCTAAATTGGGGCAGTGTCAATCAGAAGGGACACTAGTCAGAAGCTGAGCAAAAGTAAGGGAGTCTCAGACAAAGATGTTGGCAGGACCCACCAGGGAAGAACTGTGCTGGCCCCACCTGGCCCCTATGCTCCTGCAAAAGTGGGGCAACGGGCTAGGAGGGACTGGACATGACTCAGCATCCCAGTCAATTAACCAGTCTCCTCGATCCAATTCCAGTATCTTCGCAAAGTCCTCAAGTATCATGTCTTCCTGTGCAATGCTCCTATCCACAGCAGGTTTGCTCCTTAGGCTGTCACAAGCTGGGAAAACTCTTGGCAGCTTTATGACTGCAGTAAATTTAAAAGATGGCAGAGTGGCTTGTACACATCATTTCTGGTGAGCATAGTCCTAGCCCATGTCCCCAGACACTCAGTCCACATTGACACTGTCAGGACCTGCAATGATGAGGACTGTCCCCGACTCCTGGCCTTCTGCAGTAGGACAGTCTGAAGATGTAGGGCTCCTACAGTATGGCCTGCAAGCAGGAGCAAAGCCACCAGATTGTCCCTCTCTGGGACTTCTTTTTTTTGTCTTTTTGAGATGGTCTTGCTATGCAGTTCAGGCTGGCCTTGAGCTCACTTGGTAGCCCAAGCTGGTCTCAAACTCACAACGATCCTCCTGCCTCAGCCTCCCAAGTACTGAGATTACAGGGGTGCGCCACCATGCCTGGCCAAAAACTGAAAGCTTTTACTTTTTTTTTTTTTTTTTGGTACCAGGAATCGAACTCAGGACCTTGCGCTTGCCAGGCAAGCGATTGTGCCACTGAGCTATATCCCCGGCCCTCTCTGGGATTAATTGGGGCCCAGAGAGATATTGCAGTTGCTGTGGAAGGTCACATGGCTGAGACTGCACTATTAACCTCTCATCCAAGTACAGGTAAAGAGGGGGCTATGGCAAACTAGAGGCAATGTCATATTGCCTAGAGGGTGTTGAGAAACAGGAATAAAGACAGCAGCACATCTCCTCATCCAGAGTCCTCTCCACCCAAGGCCCAGCCCCTGCGCCATGGACGCCCACACACATCTATTACAGCACTGCCACCTAACCACAGCCTTACACATGCCTGGCACTGACAGAGTAACTCAGAGAGTCTTCACTGCAAATCAGGGAAGAGGCCAAGCAGCAGTAACACCCTCTCCTCGGGGCTGTGGCAAGGTTGGCAAGCTAATTGGAGTCAGTCACTTCAGACTGCTGGACACCTTCCGGGCCTGGTGAGCCCTGTATCATTCTCATCACCATCATCTGCTTCCCAGACTGACAGACATGAGCACTCAACCATATACTAACCTCAGCCTTGCTTCACACCCACAACTACAGACACTTACTCAACTTCCCAGAGCTGGGACTATGCCTCACCCAGTGACAGTCTTTCCCATCTAGCTAGTGTAGGAAGGTTTCTGCTCTTAACCAGGTGACATAGGTCTATCGTTCAATACAAAATTCCACAGCTTCTCAAGGAGCTGGTGGGCCTCAGGTACAATTTCCTAAATGAGGCCCAGAGAAGAGGCACTTGTCTCCCAGGAAAATGAGAAGATGTTTGAGTTAGGTAGGCAAAGAACTCTCCAAACTAACAGTGCTCAGGAAACAGTGACAGCAACCAAACCCTTCTGGGTCAGGTACTGTACGAGCTGCGTGGCACACCCACACCTCCCCACAACATTTTCTAACTAAAGAAAACAAGAAAGAACCATGCACACGTGTGCCCAACCACGTGGAATGGTACAGAAACACTGACCCATAAGCAAAGGCAGATGCTTAAGCCCTGAGGTATTTCCTGGGCCCTCAGTACTTTTCTGCACAAGGTGGCAGGGTCTTTATGGACAGAACTTCAGTTACCTTCTCCCATTTTCAAAGGAGCAAATAATATACTATTTGTAGTCAACTTTGACAAGATCCAACTCAACAAGCCACTGGTGAGGGAGAAAATCCCAGGCTGAAGGCTCCCTGAGACTTGCCAGCTAGCACAGCCACACTCACTCAGCTGAGGGCACCTCCAAATGCTCCAGTTCAGTAAGAGATGCACAGCCCCTCTCACTTCTGGGTCCCCACAAGCAGTGCCATGCCTGAGCTCTAGGTCTCCTGGTTCCCATTCCTACCTGTACAAGTAACTCAGATACTCCTCCTGCTGGTTCTTAGAGCTGAAGTTCTGATGGGAGGAAAAGAAAAATCAGGAAGTACTCACCTGTGGAACCACAGGAGCCCACTCCACTGACAGGGAAGAGGACATCGTTGTCACCATGTAGCACCTGCAGTGGAGCCCAGCTGTGCACCTGGGAGAGGCAGGCATCCCCATCCAGTGGCCTAAGGTGAAAGAATACAGATGCATGACCATGTACAGACCTGAGAGCTCATGACTCACCACAAGCAGGGCCTCCACAGTGCATCGTTGGAACTACCCAGGCCAGGGTGGTATAAAGACAGAGGAGGTGTGGGCTGGGAGTCAGGACAACAGAGTTTGGATCAGACACAGTCTTTCAGCCAGTGCTTACTGAGCATCCACTGAAACCAGGCACTATGCTCACTGTGGAGCAAAGTGCTCATCCTGCCCTCATGGAGCCCAACTGGGTGAGGAGCACAAATCACCCTGCAAGGAGATGCAAAGCAGCAGCTCGGAATCACAGAGCTGGTCGGGAAGGTCATGGAAAGCTGCCTTAAGAAGAGGATGGGTGAGATGACAGAAGCACAAGGACCTGAGTGAAGAGGACAGACAAGGCAGTGGGCAAATGGAGGGAGTAGCATGTACAAAGGGCTGAAACAGGAAGATGCCAGGGTGTTCCTGGTCCTGAAATGACAGAGTCAAACAACTCTGGGCCACTTTTGCTTTGCCTTGCTGAATCTCAGACGCTCGTGGGTAAAAGGAGAGAATCAGATCAGGCAGTGTCTGGGGCCCTTCCAAGGAAGGTCAGATCAAGTATTAACCAGGCTCAAATGACCTGTTACACTGTCACTGTATCTACAAAGTACAAATTTAATATGCACAACCTTCATAACACCAAGCTTGTTCTGCTGAGTTTGTTTGACCAAGTATTTGTCCACAGCAGCATTTGCCTCTGGGCAGTCAGGAAGCACCAATAAATATCAAGATCTATTTTTTTAGTTCTTTAAAGGCTATAAAATCACTTTATAAGTCAGTCATACATAAAGAAGACCAAGGCAAAGCATAGCGATACCTACCCTGTAAAGGAAAGAAAGGAGGGAAAAGAGAGAAAAAGAAAGATTATGTGACTCATCCAAGTCATCAGCCATACACAACAGAACCAAGGATGTTTGTCTTCCAAATACAACTACAGAGGTTTCCAGCCTCTGGCCCATCAAGTGGCATAACATATAGCTTTTCTGTATTTTACAAGTACTTTGGGGAGGTGGGGTGAGACCAAGGGTTGAACACAGGGCCTTCACAAAGAACCAAATCTTCAATTTCTTTTTTATTATTTTTATTTGAGACAGGATCTTACTAAGTCACTAGATTGTCTAAACTGGGCTTGAATTCGTGATCCTCCTGCCTCAGCTTCCCAGATTACAAGCCTATACCACTAGGCTTGGCCTAGTGTTTCTTTATTTTAGGGCAGAGATCCACAAACATTTTAGAGCCAGCTAGTAAACAGTTTAGGCTTTGTGGCATACTTTTCTATGTGGAAATTTCTGTACAACCCTTTAAAAAATGTAACAACCATTCCTAGCTGCAGGAGGACATGGTCTCCTTTCAGCCCTGTCTAGCTCTTGGTCAGGACAGATGTTTGTCATTGAACAGAATTTTGCAAAATTTACCATTTAATACCATTGGTAACAAAATGAGACTGGTAGCAGGGTATGGTCCAAAAGAGAAGCTGCTCGGGCCTGCATACTGGCAGCAGATCCCAACTTGGGCAAAGTCTTAAATGAACTTGGCTGTGCCTTGGAATCAGTTAGAAGTGCCCTCTTAGGGCACTGATCCACCAGTTGGTAACCAAGGAGACAGATGCAGAAGCCGTCAGGGGCACCCCTCTCAGAGAAGACAGCAAAAGGACTCAGTTTTTTCCACAGCCATCCTACAAGCTCCAGGAAAGTAGGATTTCTGGTTTGTTTCAAAACCAATGCTTGCCATTTCCCAGCAACATATGCAGAGTGGCTGCAAGGTAAAGCCAGGCCTCCACACAATGAGGTTCCAAATACAACTGGAAGTAGTGGTCCAGGCCATCACTTCAAAATGAGTTAGCATGATTTCTGAGGTAAAGAGGACCTCCAAATACAGCACCAAGATTTGCTTAAATACAATAATGGGAGCTGGGCATGGCGGGGCATGCCTGTAATCCCAGCACTTGGGAGACTGAGGCAGGAGGATCATGAGTTCAAGGCCACCATGGACTATATGGTGAGACATTGTCTCCAAAAAGTGTTGCTTTTCATTAGAGAGATAAGACACTTGCTTCAAATCCTGGATAAGGTTGGGAAAAGAGGAGAGAAAAACAGCTACTGCCACATCACCCAAAACACAACTGGCAGGATACTGTCTCTTGACTGTCCTGCTTGCCTGCTTGCCAGCCTCTTCTTTGCATAGTTTTAATGAAACTATGTGTGCAATTTTCTATCATGCCTTTCCTATTCAATACTAATGCATAATCCATCTTCCTACTAACAGATACTCTGGAACATCACTTAAGAGGTTTGAGATCTTCAGTGTTAAGATGTTAAAGTTTAACTCCGAAATACCGTGCTGGTACTGAGCCTCGGTGGCTGCGCATAAAGGTCAGCTCCAGCATTTTGCCTCTCTGAATAAGGACTTTGGTGTCTCCCTGTAGCAACTTTTTCCCTCAGCTGAGAGTACAGTATGTTCTCAGGCAGACTGTCAGCAGGGGAACCGCTGAGTCGAGGAATAAACATTTCCTGACATCCTATCAAACTGCTTTCCCTAAGGCGATCAACAGCCCTTATGCACACCCTCTCTCACCGTGTAGAGGCTGAACACCCTGAGTGCCCGGAATACCAGGCCCACCAGGAACAAGTTGGCCCCCTTGCCCCAATCAGGGTGCTAAGACAGGGCTAGGCTTTCATCCTGTTCTCAGTTTAAATTTTGGCAAGTGTGATGGGTAAGACATGGTGCCTTGTTTCACTCTACATTTATCAACTCCTAATGAGATACAACTTTTCTTTTCATGATTGTAATACTTTTTGAATTATGTTTTCACCCTACTTCCTTACTGGTGTCATAGAGCAACATATAGAGTGCTTAAAAAAAACTCCTTTCCATAATAAAGGTATTATGCTCTCTTCAGAAATCAAAAAAAGGAAAGCTAGTACTAGTGGCTAACATTGAGGAAGGAGGGTAAGGGTCTTCCTCAGGCAGTGGCTTAATTACCACTCAGATGATCTGCGGCCAACAGATCATCTGAAAGACAATCAGAGCACCAGACTTTCCCGGGGGCGATGGCAATCCACGCGGAGCTGCTGCTGGCCTCCCACACTCCCTCACACACTGCTGCACTCCAGCCCCTCAGCCTTCCTGTGACCACTGGCTTAAAATAAAAATTGAAGTATTACTCTGTAAGTCACCTCATCGTTCCTCGGCTCCTTGTCAGGTTGCTCTGCAGAATGTTCAGTCAAGACCCTCTGTGTGCCAGGGAGGCTGTCCTCCATGCCTCAGACCCTGTATAGGTCACTAAGCACTGCTCTGCACTCTCACACATCACAATGCCAGCAGCTACCTTGGCTTGCAAGCTGGCCTCCACCTCCAGGCTCCATTCAATGAAACCAGCAGGGCAGGAAAAGGAATGAGTCTATCTAAGATCATAGAACCCATGGGGTGATTCAGTTCAGAGGCACTCACCTACAATGCTATTTCCTAAAAGGCTCAGAAGAACTAAAGGCAGCTGTGAGAGTTAATTGCATGTGTCACCTTGGCTATGCCACATTACCCAAATATTTGGTCAAATGTTATTCTGGATGTTTCTATAACGACACATTTTAGTCAAGATTGGCACTTAAATCAGTAGATTTTGAGTAAAGTAGATTATCCTGCATAATTGGGTGGCCTCATCCAACCAGAGGAAGGCTTCAAAAGGAAAAAGACTGACTTCTCCAAGGGAAGAAGAAATGCTGCAAGCAGAATGCCTCTGGACATGAACTGTAACTCTTCAGTGGATCTCCAGACTATCAGCTTACCCTAAGATTTTAGACTTGCCAGCCTTCACAATCCCATGAGCCAGCTCCTTAACACAAATTGAGAAAAGAGAGAAAAAGATAGACAGAGTCAGAGATAGAGGAAGAAGTAGAGACAGACAGAATGATCAAGGGAGACAGGAAGCAAAAGTTCTCAATCTCTTGGGGCTGGGGATTTAGCTCAGCGGCAAAAGCGCCTGCCTGGCAAGCGCAAGGTCGTGAGTTTGGTTCCCGGTACCGGAGAAAAACCAAAAAAAAAAAAAAAAGTTCTCAATCTCTCTCTCTCTCTCTCTCTCTGTTTCCTTGCCCAACTAGTTCCGTTTCTCTGAAGAACCCCAAATAATTCAGCAGGTCCCAAGACTTAATTCCCAGGTACACAAACATTCATACTCTATGAACAACACCGCTGAAAAGCTTCCCTAATATATTATTTAGGAGTGGAGAGCACCCTTGTGCATGAAAATGTCCACTCAAAATGGCTGATAACAAAACAAACAAAACTACCAACTACCTAAACACTCAACAGTGGGGTAAACCTCTAGCAAGTCATGACATAGTGACTGACAAGTAACAACTATATTAGGGTCCTGCAGAGAAACATACCCACTGGGAATGCACATAACTAGACAGAGATATAAATACAGATTTACAATGAAGAATTGGTTTACACGATTATGGAGGGCAGAAAGTTCCACAACCCACCGTCTGCAAGCTACAGACCCAGAAAGCTGGTAATATAATTCAACTCAGGTCTGAACCCCAAGAACCAGGAGAGCAGATGGTGCCAATCCTTGTCTGTTGCACTTTACATCTAGATGTCTCCCAAAACCTCACTGCTCAGAGGTGGGGCTTTTGGATATTTGATACTGGGGGAATGATACACATCCCCGGATTTGTCTACTGATGACGAGTTTATAACTGGGAGTGACATTGTGAGCTGAAGCCTGGTGGAAAGAGGTGGATCACCAGAGGAGAAGCCTGGAACAGATATCTCCCTCTTGCCTCCCTTGGTCCCTCTCTGCTTCCTACCTGCCATGCTATGCACAAGCCTCCGCTGCCATGTCCCTCTGCCATGATGCACTGCCTTGGAGCTAGCCAACTATGGACTGAAGCCTCTATAAGCTAAAAGCTAAAATAAACCTTTCCTTCTTAAGTTGTGTCAAGTATTGTGTGTCCCAGCAATGAGAAAGTAACTAAGATACAGTCCAAGGGCAGCAGAAGACTAGTGTACCAGCTCAAACTCACAAACAGAAAGGAAATAATTCTTCCTTTTCTCCAGTCTTTGTTTTATTCAGGCGTTCAAGGGATTGGATGCCTCCCATACTGGGGAGGGAGGGCATCAAGCCCATCAGTTCAAATGCTAATCTCATTCAGAACTTCCTCACAAACAATAGAAATAATGTTCAATTTGGATACACAATGCCCCAGTCAAATTGACCATCACATTAACCATCATATCAAACAAATGATATGCATAATTACATAATTCTTAAATATAGAAACATGGAAAATATTTTACAATATAAGCTTTGGGTATAGCATACAAGAACCTAACTCCCAGTTTTGCCAAATGCTCTGGCAAATGTCAAACCTATGGACTCCTGTTGTCTCATCTGTAAGTTAGGATACCCACTAACTTCATGCACTGCTGTAGGTGTTACTGTATACTATGAAGTACCATGAAACATCTGGGGCATCACAGATGATCAGTGAGGTAAGACTACTAACGCTTGTACTGTATTCCCACAATACAGCCCCTATGCCATGTGACTACGGACAAGAGCAAAAATAAAAGCAAAAAATAGGCACAATCTCACGAGAAAATAAAAACTAATATTAAAACAATATGAAAATCAAAAGCTTAGGTCTAGAGGCACACTGGGCACCTAAATAACACTATGATATTTTGGCCACACAGAAAAGTGCATTCATGTGCATTCTTTTTACACTTTAATGTGCTGGGCCATGATATCAGCCACAAACAGCATGGCACTATGTACTCAAAAGCCTAGTTGAAGATGTAACTGGCCTATGTGACAATAAGAAGACTGAGCATAAGAAGTATAACAAGCCAGGCATGGTGGTGCGTGACTGCAATCCCAACACTCAGGAGGCTGAGGCAGGAGGATCACCACAAGTTCAAGGCCAGCCTGAACTACATAGTGAGACCCTGTCTTTTAAAAAAAAAAAAAAAAAAGAGAGAGAGAGAGAAAGAAAGGGAGAGATAACACAAGCAGTACAACTGCAGCAGCAGCTCACCTATGTTGCAGATGTGCCAGCCCCTATGCCAAACACCTCACATGAAGCATCGCATTGATTGTACAACACCCCTACAAGCAGGTGCTGCTATCCAAACAGGTGTCATCTGAGGCAGGAAGCTCTGGGAAGTAAAGCAATTTGCCTAACCAGTCCAAGTGAAGGGGCTGGGGATTTAGCTCAGCGACAAAGCGCCTGCCTGGCTAGGCAAGGTCATGAGTTCGGTGCCCGGTACCGGAGAAAAACCAAAAAAACAACAACAACAAAAAAAACCAAGTGAAGTCACATAGCAAGTAAACAGAAACCCAGGTTATCCAGACTCTAAGACCGTGATTGTTATTAATGATACTTTGCTATTTTAGGCTAATCTTGCCTTCCTCCAGAACTGTCTACACTAGCACTAAGTTAGAGATGTGAGGAAAACAAGTCATTTGTACAAAGCAAGGAGTTCAAGGCACACAACTTCACCCTCATTTGGTATTAAATACCTTCAACTATGCTCTCTTGCCCTCTCCTAGCTCTCAGGAGAATGCCAAGCTAACAGTCCCTCCTCCTAAATAAAGACATGAAAAGTGAATAATGCCCTAAACAAATATAAACCTTACACTCTTATCTCACCCACTACCATAGAAGGAGAAAGTGGTTTATGTAACTTCCTGCATTAAACTCAAAGTGGAACTTACTTCTCTGGTGACCCTGAGTGCATGTGCTTCCTTCCCAATGAGCTCCCATACACATCATCCTCATTTTCATCTACATCTTCATCGTCGATGCTTTTCACATCAAGTTTCTGGTACCCAAACTCCCCATTCAAAGACAAAGACTCAATTTTCCATGAGTTGCTGCTCTGACTTCCATTGGAATTTGGCCCAAAGGGGCCTTCAAAGGTTGACATGATATTGACTGAGGAGCGGTCTGAGTTTTCCTCTGAGCTCTCCCCTACCCCAGGTATCTTTTTAAAAATGTCCCCAGAGTTCTGTTCATCCTCCTCGTCATCAAATGAGATAATGTTGGTCACTTTCTTTTTCTTCTTCCGCTCCTTTTTACATTTGGCATCTAGCAAAAGAAAAGATATGGTGTAAGAAAAAGTAAGCAAGTCAAAAAATGATTGAGCCAATTTACCTGTAGGTCATGGAAAATCCTCTAGTATCCTATTGAGAAACAACTGTAAGACATATTCCAATTTTTCTAAATCTTAAATATCTCTACAGAACACGAACAAACTGGATATGGGCCTCTACCTCTGATTTAAATAAACACAACACAGAATATAAGTTGCTATTATTTCTTCTTGTAGTCAGTTTGATTCAAAAAGTGTTACCATTACTGAAGTGATTTGCATTATTCCACTACAGAAAATACTCTCGTGGCTGGTAGATAAGATAAGAAAACAGTCTGGAGGTTGTAGTGCACTGCTTCATGACCACAAATCCCTCCCATTGCTGTACCATGCCCCATTCAAAGAGGCATCTGTGTCTGCATCTTGAACCCAGCCTGGTGCAGCCCTCTGCTTTGACCAATGAAATATGGCACAAATAACATTGCATTCTAGACCCCAGGTGTCACAAGGCCTCATGGCTTCTGCTTTTGCCCTCTTGAACTGCTACCTGACACCACTCCCTAAAGGAGCCACTGGAGGATGAGAACCACATATACTGCTGAGGCCCCAGTATAACTTTAGGCACATCAGTGAGACCTTCCCGTATCCTGTTTCCTACATCATTCATACGGGGCCTCTGCTCTAGAAAGAGATTGTCCAACCCAGCCACCACCTGAATGAAGTCCCATGAGTGAGCTAGAAGGAAACTAGCAAGAGCACCACCATGCCAACTCATGGAATTATTTTTAAAATGATGTTGCGGGCTGGAGATGTAGGTCAGTAGTAGAAAACTTGCCTAACATGCATGAGGCCTTGAATTCAATCCTGAGTATCACCAGAAAAAAACTGAAACAAAAATAATGACATGTGGTGGGTTTAAGCCATGGTCTTTTGTTGTCATTTGTTATACAGAAAAGGCTAAGCAGAAACTAAGACTGCCTCAGGGATCAGAACTAAGATGAGACCACTTGTTCACCTCTCTTAATAATCAGCTCATATATGAGACACATTAAGCCACTTCCCATAACTCTAATAGAAATAAACCAAAGTACGGCCTGGTAGGACCTCACCAGTGGAGTATAACTGTGAGATAATCGTGAAAAAAACAGTTCCAAAATGGTTAGGACTTTAGGTATCTAAATTTCAAAAATTTAGTATCTAAATTTCAGTATCTTCATTACACAAAGCTCTATACCATCCCGTTCCCTACATCATTCGTATGAGGTCTCTGCTCTAGAAAGAGAGAGTAAGATAAATAGGTCTCTGTGTACTAAAGAGCCCATGGCATTCTGAGTTTTCACTATCATTAATAATTCCAAAGACTAAGATGTGTTAGTACATGTACCAACTCCCCCCGATGGATGCAATCATTATTTACTGCAAACATGTACTACTAAAAATTAAAATTAAAAAAGTGAGAGGCCCAAAAAATAAAAATAAAAAAATAATACTTCCAAAGGGAGGCCATAATTACTGCCTTAAGGGACTTGGGACTATACAGACTAGTACGCAAACTCAAAATTTCCCATTCTACTCTACAAAATACTAGGTATCTCCAAATGCTCAAGGGAAATTATAAACTTCTTGCTTACTTCTTACTTGAATCAATTTTATTTTACTTCCTCACAACCTAGAGTCAAAGCTGACATCTCTTCCTTCAGGCCTCTGCTTAAATGTCAAACCCACAACAAAGACAAGCCCAACAGCATTCATTCTCCAAAGCACCCTATGCCTGGCTATATTTACCATAAGGATAATACGTTATTTGTATAATTTGTCTTTAAATATCTCCCCTCACTCACCCCAAAGGAGACTATGAGGTAAATGCTGGTAATCTGTCTACTTACAAGCACAGGAAACACAGTGAGGGAATGAATGAATGAATGAATGGGGATCAATCTATCTGGGTTTTCATGGCTACCATCCCTCACTTTTGGTTTTCTCCTACTGAACAGTTTGCTTTCCTTCTCCATGATTTTCACATCTAGGTAAGGCGGTCTGATTTCCTTTGGCATGATTATGAAGTAGAAAAATAAATACAAACATAAACTGAAGATGCAAGTGTATCAGACTCCATTCTTCTTGGAATGACTTTCAGATGATGAAGTGTTCCCCTAAGTCACCCTGTTCTCCCTTTAACCTACCCCCGTTTCACCCAAGTGCCTATCCTTGCTCACCTGCATTGACGTTCTTAGACACGACAGGCAGAGGGTCAGCCTCCTGCTCAGGTTTGATGAGGATGGATACAGCAGAGGAGGCCGTGATCTCCCTGAGAAGACTGCTCACTCCTTGTGTGGATTCTTTCAGCAAGGAGGTCACATTCTGCGTTGACTCCTTTAAGAGGTCGGAAACAGTGGGAGCAAACTTACTCTGCCCATTTAAATCCTTGTTGTCAATGTTAATGGCAAAAAGTATGGAGTTCAGACCTGCCCAAAGAAAGGGAAAGTCTAGAGTGTTTGATGTTGAGCAAATACACCTCCATCAGGTGTATTTGTGCCAACAAGGCACAAATAATATAAGACACAGAAGGACATGCACTGATCTTCAAATATTTATAAAAACCTTCCACAAAATGGGCCAGTGGACACCAGCTATCACATGAACTGAGTCTTTCCAGATTTCCTCCCGGCAAGTTAGAAATACAAACAATCACCTAGAAGCAGATGAAGGCACAATCTCTCGAGTCAGACCATGGGGGGTGATCCCCACCACTGCCACTTACTAATTCAAGACCTTGGGCAAGCAATTTATAATCTCCCTGAGCTTTGGTCTCCTTAGCTGTGAAATGGGAACAATATTATCTCTCTCACAGGGTTTTAAGTATTAAAAAAAATCACCTACCAGAAACACTTAGCTCAATTAGTAATTAAAATATGTACCAATAATATCACTATAATTACATTAGGCAAAAACTTACACTGGTTATATGGCCTACAAAGGAAATCATGATCAAACTGTGGCTTTTTCTCATCCTCAGATAAGGCTAACATAATCTTCAGTATGTGGGACTTAGTGTAAACTTCTGAGAGAAAAACTAAAAAGGAAATAACAAAGAATTTGCAAAAAAGATACAAGCCACCCACTTTTGTCTGGTTGATTCCATCTTTCATACTTTGAGTAAAAGTCAAATACCAAACAATTTAGCAACCACCAAGTTACATCAGTCTAGGGTTTTCACACTGACATACCATGAACACAGCTCTTAACCTCATCTGACTCACGACCCTACAACAGTGGTTGGGGAAATGTCAGGGTTCCTACTTCACATAGGAGAAAAACGAAGGTAACAAAGATGATAAGATATGGCCAGCAAGGGGTAGAGCCAGGATTCAAAGGAAAATTCCTATCTCTAATTTCCTGGCTCTTTGTATTATACCTACCAAGCCACAACCAAGACTCTTTAACCCTATGCTTTGTCTTCCAAAGTATCAAATTCTAGATAAATGTACTCACACTCAAGGCACTAAAAGGACAATGATGAGTGATTCATTAAGTTGATACAGGACAGAAAAGATCACAGCATCCCTTGGGCCTATAAATCCACTCCCAGACAGCCCTCTCTGCTGACCAAGTTTCCCAGGACCCCTGGCCTTGGCCAGGCTTACCAGCTGCCATGGTAGGAAGCATGCTAGACCTTTCTTCATCCATCACGAAAGACCAGTCTTCATAAAAAGTGCTGCAAAATCAAAGAAAAGGAAAACGTTTTTAATAGTAGTTCTCTGCATCCATTACCTAGACAATTCCATTAGGCAGTTCCTTGGAAAATCTGTGTCTGGTCAGTCATCCCAGAGAAGATAGCACTATGTCTGAGGTCTGTGCTGGCTTGAAGCTTCGGATTACACACAGAGGTCTGAACGAATACATCCTAGGACTTCCTCACTGTTCCTCTCAGCCCTCAGGGTTTAGAATACTGAAAATAGAAATATGTAAATGTGTTTATAAAGCAGTACAGTAGAAGACGACAGAAGGGTGACTTCCACTCAAGCAAGATCCCCAAGAGACAAACGGGAAATCCAAGCTGGCCAACAGGGTTCACCTGACTTGATTTAAACAAGAAACAATTTCAGAAAGAAATTAAAGAGCACCAGGGCTCCACCAACCATAGCATTCACTTATAGTACCTGCCTGAGCTACCAACCCAAAAGCCCAAATATCCCTAAAAAAGACTGGGAGGCCTAAAAAGCCCCATGAATCTGAATAGCAGTTGAGAGGGAGGGTGTCAGAGAAGCTTGTACAACCCATCCAAAGTTACCCAGCCAATAAATACAACAATCAGAGCTTAAAAGCATGTCTCCCAAGTCCAATTTCCAAGCTCTTTATATAATTCCCTGTCAGGCAATAACAACCAAATACCCTCAATGCCATGACTTCCCCACCAATTCTATGTTAATGGAGTCAAAGCTCAATTTTAAGAGTCAAATGAGTGTTGAGTGGCCTGTATTTCACTGAGAGACTGGAAAAAATTTATCTGCTGATGCGACTGAATACAATGAACAAATGGAAAGAGAGAAGAGACACATCATTCCCAATATACTTACCCAGCAAAATGTTAGTAGAAGCAAAAACCACAAGGTCAAGCTGATATTTTCAACTGTACTTGACTCTCACAATTGTGACCCTTTGAATATATGAGCCAGTTTTCATGCATGTTGAATTTGGTTTCTTCACATTGAGTTAGGTAAGTGGCTAGTGATTCAGGGAAGATCCACTGTATTTCTTAACTGCAATTCACTTCAACTTCCCACTGTTAAATTCAACTTTAGCACTGAGGATGTAACTGTGAATTATTTACAAATAACTTGCTGGAAAGTGCTTCACAAAAATTCATTTTAAGAAACCTGAATATATTCTCCTTAACTAAAGTGCATTAGTGCTCAGAGGTACAGACTTTCTTCAGCCACCTAACTTTGGCCCTGAGCCGCACACCGGTGACCAATGTCAGCTGTCCTGGCTTTCAAACCCTCCCATTTCAGAGCCACAGGGTCTGAGCACACATTTGGATGAGGTGTCACAGGCAACATCAGTGGGAGAAGTGCATCAGGTGTTGGCTTTCTTTTTTTCCTTCTCAAGGGTATTTTTAAGATCCATAACACCTGATCCCAGAACAACCAAGGAATTACTGGTAGAGTAGTGACTACAGCAACACAAGCAAAAGGAGAAACCTGGGCCAGGAACCCTTGGCAGGATACAAAATCAAGTCACTGCACCATGATGCTGATAAAATGCCAGATTGTTGAATTAAATGAAATCTCAATACTAAGGTCCAGGGCACTGCTGATCTGAAAGTTATTCAAGGAACCAGGGCAGGGTTGATCACTGTCTCGTTTGTACCATCAGGTGACATAAAACATGTCTAGACTACCATTCTCAGAGGAAAATAGTCACAGTCAAACCAGAGAGATCAAAATATGATGAGTTAAAATTAAAAAGACAAGAGAAAATGCCAACATGTTAGAGCTAGATCTGTATAAATTATGAGTGATTTAAATTTTCATGTCAGTGGGTTCTACAACATTTTCAACTGTTTTTAAGGAAATGTGGTTGACTATATCATCACTAGGCTCCTACTCAGAGCCACTGCCATGGTTAACTATGCCTCCCATCCTGCTGAGCTTGGGTGTGACCAAGAGTAGAAGTATCCCTGTGGGCAGAGGCTTTACCAGTCAGTACTGAGTTCAACCATGACTCCTATTCATACCCTGCTCTACACATGCCTCATAAATGAAATATATGTAGAAGAGCCTTTGGTCATCCTGAGTCCCTGAGATGCAAACACCCTGCCATGACAGACATGCACCACAAGGAGGAAATAAACTTGCTTCTTTCATGTCACTGAGACTTTTGAACTGTTTGTCACTGACCTGTAGAAAGAATGAATTTTTTTGTTTTGTTTTTGTCTTTTCGAGACAGGGTCTCGCTATGCAGTGTAGGCTGGCCTTGAGCTAACTTTGTAGCCCAGGCTGGTCTCGAACTCTCAATTATCCTCCTGCCTCAGCCTCCCGAGTGCTGGGATTACAGGTGTGCACCACCCCACCCGGCTCAGAGAATGAATTTTACATTTATTACCAAGGGAAAAAACAAAGATTTTAATAAAAACAAAACATTTCCTTTCCTAACTTAAAATTTCCCTATTTTTTTTTCAGTCAGCTTGGGACTGAGTGCATAAAACAATCCCAAATTAAAATTCCACAAAATGAAGACAACCAGGATAAGAAAACAGCTTTCTACATACCCACAGCCTTGATAATAATAAGCACTGGTTGTGTGCTGCTGTACACAGATCCCATGCACACCCCTTTAACAGGCGTTCACACTGATTCTCCTGCCAAGTGTCCCCACAGGACAGCTGAACGGACGAAAGCTGAGGATGGGACCCATTCACACTAGGTGTAGGACTGGGCTGCAAACCAGGAGATCTGACTCTGTCTGGACTCTGCCATCTTCACCCTGGACTCCACAGCATCCCTCCCAGGAACCCCTCCCACTGGGTACCTGAGCCTGCCTCGGTCGGCCAGCAGCATGTGCAGGTAGCGCTCCAGAGAGTGCTCGTTGAGGGCACAGCGCAGCCAGGCCCGGCCCCGGCCCACGTCCGAGGCGATGTGGCGCAGGGAGTAGAAGCGCTGCAGCTCGTGCTTGTTGAGGACCTCCTTCACGTAGTACCAGAACACGGGCTCTGGGGAGAGAGCATATTGGCTGTGTCACTTGGCCTGCAACACTCATCATTTTTAGAGCAATGGATCCCAGGCAACTTTTTAGATTGGAAAAGAGCTACTTCTTTAGCATAGAGAAGGTGGGAGATACAGAGAAAATTCAAAAATTAAAATGACTACAAGCCAGGTGTGGTGGTGCACGCCTGTAATCCCAGCACTTGGGAGGCTGAGGCAGGAGGATCACTGTGAGTTCGAGGACAGCCTAGGCTACATAGTGAGTACAAGGCCAGTCTAAACTACATAGCAAGACCCAATCTCAAAAAAAAGACTACAGAACATCTTCCAGAATTTCCTTCCAATCTGTTTACCTGCACCTATCTTTTTTATACAAAAATCAATATTTGTGACAGACTGAATTAAGATTCCAGAAAACATATCTTATCTCTGGAAGCAATGAATGGTACTTAACATAGCAAAAGAGGCTTTGTAATTGTGATTAAATTAGGGATCCAGAAATGGGACGATTATCTTGGCTAACCCCTGAGGGCCCTTGTTGTGACAAGTATCTTTATAAAGAAGCAGAAAGTGGTTTGACTCAGAAAAGGAGAAGGTGGTATGACCAGGGAAGCAAAGATTAGAATGAGGCAGCCACAGCCAGACAATTCTGGCAGACAATAAAAGCTGGACAAGGCAAGAGTGGATTCTGCTCTGCAGCCTCCATTCCCCATTGGGTTAGGAACCAGCCTACCCCTAACCCAGAAAAACTGATCTTGGACTTCTGGCCTCCCAGAGCCGAGAGAAAATAAGTCTGTGTTGTTTGAAAGCCACCAACATTAAGTTAGGCACAGTGGCATGAGCTTATTGTTCCAGCTGCTCAGAAGGCAGGAGGATCACTTAAACCCAAGGGTTCAAGGCCAGCCTGGGCGAAAAGCAAGATCCCATCTCAAAAATAAATAAATAGCCAACAACTTGGTAGTAATTTGTTATGTCAGCCATAAAAAAAGAGTGTGTCATACTAAAATTTTCTAGCCTTGTTCACTTTTGGACTAGATCACAAACTTTTTCCTCCCACCATTAAGTCTTCAGGCATACGCATGTAATCCCAGTACCTGGGAGTCTGAGGCAGGAGGATCATGAATTCAAGGCCAGCCTAGGCTACATAGTGAGCTCAGGCCAGCCTGGACTAAAATAGCAGGACCTTGTCTCAAAAAACACAATACAAAACAAAAAAGTCTTCAAACATGATTTTTATGCCTTCCCAGTGAAACATAATACAGCTATTTCTCTGTTATAAAGAATATGATACACTGCCAAAATTCCCTCTATATAGCAAAGAACATTCTTATACATAAATAACTGTTCACATTTCTAGCTCCTTAGAAGAGATTTTCATAGGCTGAATTTCTAGGTCTAGGAGTAGGAACAGATTTAAGGCTTTAAAAGAAAGCTTAAGAGTTTGTTAATATGTACTCATAAAAATCATTCTTTTTTGCCAGCATCAGATTCATTCATTTTAAACACCCTTATAAAATATTCTTATAACAACTTACAGCCTCCTCAAGTCCACCTTTCTTATCCACATGCAGCTTTTTTCCATAGTTGTAATTCTAGTATATAGCTAATTTTGTGATCTATTTTCTTCTCTTAACATCAGCTCATCAACACTTTTGCACGCTGCCAATAATAAGGGCAGCAGCAGTAACTGCAATTCATTGAATGTTAGCTACAGGTATACACCAGCCATCGCACCCAACACTGTACATCTGACCAAGGGTATCTGCATGTAAAAGATAAGGCCTGGACAGGTGAAGAGCCCATACAATGATACTGTTACATGGTCAGTAAGTGGTACAACTGAGGACAAGTTCAGAGGCAACTGCAAACCACCAAACACATTTTGCCTTATGTAATAAGGAAACTTGATTTTCTTCAAAATGAGCACATTCAAAGAAGGCAGGATTTGGGGGCATGGAATAGAAAATAATCAGACATGTTATATGCATGTACCAATTCCCTCAAACAAACATCACTATCATGTATTGCAAACATTTAATAAAAAAATTTTTCTTAAGGAGCATGTTCATAACTGCTTTATTTTCCAAAGGGGTAAAAACTGAGTCTCTACTGCTAAACCCAGTTTTCAGTCCATGAGCTAACAGGTCCATAGACCCTTCTGAGAACGTGGTAGTCTTCCTCCCCCGCCACAGTACCAGGAATCAAACTCATGACCTTGCACTTGCCAGGCAGGCACTGTGCTGCTGAGCTAAATCCTCAGCCCCAGAATGTGGTAGTCTTTGAAGAACACAAATATACATAGTCCAGAAACCAGGCACCAGGTTAATACACTCACTCTGCTATTTCAAGTCAACTGAACAGGGACTGACTGCATTCTTTCTGTGGGCCATGAATTGGGCTGGGCCTGGATACCAGGTATCAACAACAAGGGCTCATCCCTAAAGGCACTTCCAGTCTAGTAGGCAGGACAACCAGGTGAAGAGATCGTTCAACTGAATGACTCTGGGCAACTCACTCAACTATGCTAAGCCTCAGATGCCTCTCCCATAAGTACAAATGTACTGACGTGTCCAGGGTTACTGGGGAAATTGGAGAACACAGAGAGCCAGTGCTGAGCATAATGCCCAGCTTATGATGACCAATCACAGTCCGCTTAATAATTACCTCCCCAGAAGAGGACATTTCTGCGGTTTCCTCTTTTGCTGCTAACAGCATCTCAACATATACATATGTATGAGTGCACATATATATTTGTGGATCCAGCCACCCTTTGGGATTCTTTAGAATAAACTTCCCAGGACAACTGACAAAACCAGCAATGGGGAAGTTCTCCCAGAACTGTCTTCTGTCTCAACCTTTACATGTGAAGTTAATCCCCTTCCAGAATTTGTCAGACCAATCCAAAGCACACAACTGGACAAAATGGTTTTGTTCCACTCTCCACCTCTCTCAAACTGGGATAGGGGAATTTAGGGAGAGCTTCATGCCCTGAGTCAGCAGCCAATAATGTGTTTTGAAATACTCAGACAACCACCTGCATTTCCATCACATTTCAGATCAAGTGACTCTCACCTGCATCCTGCCTTTCTTGAAAAATGCAGTCACTTCCCTCTGACCTTGAGTGCACATGAACATTTCACAGTGTTTTTCACCTTTCAATTTTGCAAATTGCTTACTGCTACAGAATCCTTTCAAAGCTTGTTGGAGCGATGCTGACGATGATAAGAATTATCCTACCAGGGCTCCACTTCCACTGCTAGAATTAATGTGGTCTATTTAAAGTGCAGCTCACCTGCCATTTAAAGCAGGCAGTGTCCATAACTTAATTTGGGAAGAAATACCGATCTGCTTTGAAACATGGGATAAGTTCCAAAAAGTATGCAAGGGCCCTTTGTTCTCAGAACCCCTAAAGCAACTGCCAACAAGAGCAAAAGAGCCACAAAAAAAAAAAAAAAAAAGAACAAGAGCCAAGACTGGGGTGCTGAAGCGAGCTGCCTAGGGGCACTTGTTAACAGAGGATGAATAATAACACTGGCTTTTGGCAAAGAGAGGCCTCGGCTTTCATTCACAATGCCAGGAATTCACACTTTGGAGATTATAAGACAAATACTTTGGCTCAAATCATAGTTGAGGCATTGTGTGACCTTGGGTGACTTACCTTGTCCTTTGTTTTCCTCATCTACACAATGGGGATTATAATATTTACCTCTAAAGATTGTTATCATGGAAAAATGAGAAAATAATACATATAGTGTGTATCCAATAAATGCTGTAGGCTAGCCATAATTAACTTACCTGTCATATAATTGGCAGTTGATGGGAAATAGCTTTTAATATCATTAAGACACAAGTATTTCAAAACACATTATTGGCAGCTGGCTCAGGGCATGAAGCTCTGCCCAGATTCCCCTTTCCCGGTTTGAGAGAGGTGGAGAGTGGGAACAGAGCCATTTTGTACAGTGAGGTAAAATCCCAGGCACAAGACAAGCAAGGAGTACCCCTTTCCCTCTTCTGGGAACAGTACCCCTTTTTCCCACAAGAAACATATTCTACTCAGTTCCCTGTGAAGAGGCCTTCAGCATACATCACCCTCTTCCTCCCCCCGCAATCCCAGGCCTCAGCAGGGAGTGCACCTCCAACCTCATCCTCAACCTGACCCTATTTATATTTTGTTCATTACAGATTTTTTGAACTAATTTTGGCTTTTTTAATATTACATGAAAATGTTAGTATCATGATGGCAGAGGTTTTTGTTATCCCTTAAATTTTATGACCAAAAAGAAGTCTTACTGACCTCACACTAGTCCTAGCCCTAAACCACAGTCTCCTCCACACAGTTTCTACCTGGATCACTGCAAGATGAGGCCTGGTTGTCTTTCTGCAACTATTGGAAAACTGTGTTCTGGATTTACCCAGAACCTTTTTTTCTTTTTTTTGAAACAGGGTGTCCCTATGTAGTTTAGGTTGGCCTCACATCGCAGCAATCCTCCTGCCTCAGACTCTTGAGTGCTGAGATTACAGGCGTGTGCCACCACACCTGGCTAACACCACATGTTTTTGCAGTAAAGTTTTATTGGAACACAGTCATACCCATTTGTTCACATACCATCTGGGGCTGCCTTCCCGCTACAATGGTACAGCTGAGTAGTCATGATGGACACCACATAGCCTACAAAGTCTAAAATATGTACTATCTGATCCCTTAAGGAAGGGAAGAAGTTCACTGACTTTTGTTCCACAAGTAGTTCTAATGACCAGGTAAACCTGAAGTCACCTATGGTCATTTTTCCCCCTACCGTACAGACATCTTCCTGAAAAGACTTTGACCTACACAGAAGCTGTTCTGAGAGACAGAAGCAGATGTGGGGAGCATCAGCAGCTCAAGTCCAATTAGATTTCTTAGTTACTTGGGTTAAGTGTGTGTTTTGGTCTAAAGAGACCGTAGTTTAAATAGGAACCACATAATAAAACTTATATATGATGTGGATAAACTTTTTTTTTTTTTACT